ACATATCGATATGTTGTATAAATATTGCAAATCAAAACCTTTATTGACCACTAATTACCAAAAATCGCAGTTCTATCTCCTGTTATTAATGCATTCAAATGGCCCGCCACGAACTTCCGGGAACAATCTGAGTCTCCATGAACCACGTGACGATCAAGCATTTTGGACATCCGCTGTCGTAACTCTTCTGTCTATACGACGCTGGGTATAGTGACGTAACGTAACGTAACGGCTCCCTTCTTTGACGGATTTTGCTGCCTGTTCCTGGTCTGCTGCTCCCTGATTTTCATTGTCAATGTGTTCTGACCCTGTCTCTGCCAGTTCCAACCATGGTAACAGCGGGAGAGGGAGGGGCCGGAGTATGAGTGACGGACGCTCAAAAACAGCGTTGCGTGTGGTGGGGTGGAGAGTGGGGGGGCCACGGCCACCCTGATATATTGGCCTGCTGGCGCCATTATTTGTAAAGCATTGTTTGAGGGAGCCTGACAACAAGAGTTTCATCACCAAAGACAGCTTTAGTGTATTTGTTGTACATACACACAAGCTTGCAGCAATCTTAGATAGAAAGAAAGGCTGAATTGATCTCATAGCATACTGTTAAATTTGTGATTTGTCATTTGCGATAGTTTTAAGAATATCACTATTCATTATATTCTATGGAGCTTCTAGAGCAGGGGTGTCAAACTCAAGGCCCGTTGGCCAAATCCGGCCCGCGACCTCATTTTATGTGGCCGCAAGAGCTTACACAGAATACAATATACAATACAATTGCTGTACTATAATTGTTGAATATTTGCTTTCAATTATTTGCCCTAGACTTCTGCTTTCAGACATAGTTATTTATGAAGTTATTACCCTATCTGATAATAATCCAATGCAGAGCCAACAATGTAATATAATCAGTGGCGGCCGGTCCATAGGGGCGCTAGGGGCGCCGCCCCACCTCTTCCCATATTGAAAAAAAAAAAAAAAAAAAAAAATTAAAATTAAAATAAAAAAAAGAAAATATGTTTAAAAAAATATATATGTTTTTATTTTTATTTTTAATGAACAAGGTAAATATTATATAATTGGTATCAGTAAAATGTATAATCTACAATAAAATCTCGTTTAAAATTGTGTTACGATGTCTAAAGTTACTGATAAGTCACATGTTTCCTGCCTGGCCTTGCCCATGCACCTTCTCTCGTCTGGGCGCTAAGAGAGGAGCCTTCAACCAGTGCAGCAGCAGCCACCAGCAGCTGACTGTTGCTATCTGTAACGTGTAAACTATGCCGCGAAAATATAATTTCAGCCAATCAGCGTCGTCAAAGATGACGGTCACCGGGCGCCAATGTCAGCGCCCAGTGCAGTCTGTGAGTAGTTTGGACAGTGACTCGTATCCGGTTGACGCAGTAGTTGATGAGGATGGCTTCGTGTGCAGGTGGAGTCTCCGGACCTCGGTCCCCGCCTAATTCTGTTCAAGAGCTAATCTCCAATCCTTTCGAAAGGAGAAGTTTGGCAGATAAATTGTTGCTTAAAGACCTTGCACCGGACCAACCCGATTTGAATATATCGCAGCAATCTCGTGAAAAAGACAAAATTTATACACGAGGCTTCACAAGTAGCTGGTACACAAGAAAGGCTTGGCTAGCTGGATGCAAACAGGTAAATGCTGTCTTTTGTTTCCCATGCTTGGATATCACTTTATATGTAGAGAGGAGGTTTCCCATGGTTGTTAGAAGTTTATTAATAAGTGGGCATTTATCACAGAAGTGATTGTTCTGTCTCCACGTTTGTTGCATTGTCTGTGATGTATTTTCCAACGGTTATAGCTCCTGTTCTGTCCCAGCAACACTACACGGTTTGCAGCTCCACCACATTTTTGGTTTATCTTCGGTGTCGCTTAAAATCTGCTTCCCATCGGACTAAAACCTCCACGTAATCTGAAGACAGATACTTGAAGTTATTTAAACCTTTTGCAAACTTTATGTTCTTTCTTGCTCTAGCCTTGCCAGTTACATTGTACATAACACATATATTATCATTATGCTAACTGGTTGTTCGTGTTAGACGATGTAGCTTTTTCATTTCTGAGTTATTGCTATATGTAAATAAGCCTGTTTGTAAATAATCCTCAGAGAAACAAAGAAAAAACACAATTTATGACATTTTGTGCTGTGGTTATTTTTTTTTAAATTGCATTTATTCACAGTTCAGTTTGAAATGCTGTAGTGACTTGTATTGAACCACCTAAATATTTATAATTAATGCTACTGAAAAGATGCTATTAATTTTATATCTCACATGCAGTTCACTGTAAAGCTACTTGGTGAAGGTGTTGGTTCATAAAACATGAACAGTTTTAAGAAAGAAAAAAACAGACCAGTTCTGAGAACACAAATTCCTGGTAAAGTAGTAGATGTTCAGGTTGATAAATAATATTTTCCACACTGAAGATTATGGAGGTATTGATCAGTCTTCTCATATTTTTAAGCCTCGATTTCTCCTTTCCCCCCCCCTCTAACATCACCAGAAGTCATCATTTAAGGGGTCATTTCTCGAAAAAAATTTTCGGGGGGAAACCCCCCGGACCCCCCGGGTAGGTCACTTACGGTACGTCAAGAGCCCCACCAAAAAAAAAAGACCACCGGCCGCCACTGAATATAATACATTATTTTATATATATTATGTACTTATATATGTATATTTATATAGTCTTAAAGTTGCAACCAACCCTTTGAGTGCAACCATAATAAGTTTGACACCCCTGATAGAGGATGTTCTGCAGGGTCCAAATGTTCTGCTATGCTCCTGCTAATATTTATAGAAACAAGATGTTACTGGGTTTATGCAATAACATTAACTGGTTAGGTTTAAGGAAAGATCACATTTTGGGTTCAAACATGTTTTTGATATAAATTAGTTGCTTATAGGAGAATAACATGATGTAGACAACATGTTAACTTTTGGTTTCACATTGAGGACAATTCATTTGTTTATTTGTATGTCCATTCTGTGTTTAATTCTTATTTTTTGGATTTAAATTTTGAATGCATGACTTTTATTGTCAAAAGTCCTCCTTCAGTATATCAGACTGATCTGCTGCAGGCTCCATGTTGTTCCCCACTAGTCTACAGATGGAAATGAGGCATTGTTTCTTTCGTCTTGGCGTGTACAGGAACAATAATGTGAACCATGTCTCTATGCTTTGCACATAACTTAGACCTATGTGCCTAGTCGTCACACATCACATATGATGAGTCAGCTCTCTTCAGCATCAGGCCATGCTACATGTTGGTTAGAGCTGTGCAGGAAAGTGTTAACGCCTGGGGGGTAAAGCTAAAAATGAATAGAAACAAAAGCTGAAGCTGGGTGAACTGATCAAAGGCTGTTTTATTCCTGATGTCTCCCTGAAAAGTATCATCGACCAATGAGTGAATCAGACCAGCAGTAAGGCCAAATCAGGCCAGGGGAGCAGAGTGGGGGGCTGTTTGATGTGTCATTATCCTATAGAAAAACGAGGTATATTTAAAGAACAATTGAATAATGAATAGAAGGCTGGATGTCATCTTCATATCACTGATTTGAATGAACAACAACAACAACGAAAGGCTTTATAACACACATACAAATACAAAGAACCCCTGTGTAGTATAAATACTCTATATCATGTATCATTCATTTCTGATTAATCTTTGATTTATCCAATCTAATAATTGAACATTTTAATTTAAATCATGTTAAAAGGTTGCATAGAAACCTGTTAGCCCATGGCATCACAGTATCTACTGTGTTATTAAGAGATTATGTACAATACAAACAAACAATGTGTTAAGAATGAAAATGTTTGACATAATCATAATAACGAAAATAATAAATATCATTCTTATATATAATATGTAGTTATATAATATTTCTGGATCTCTTAATCTGTGTCCTTCCCTTCACACAGGTACACCCATAGGGCCCCATTCTGATGGCTGCAGGTTAGCTGTTAGAGGCTGGTGACAGCAGAGGCTGAAGTGAATAGTCAAAGATAACTATTTTTATGAGAACATAGCAGTCTCTGGTAAATATAAATTACATTTTTCGGTGATTGGGCTCTTTAGTTAAAAAATGACAGAAAAGTATAAACATACCTTTTGCATTTCCGCCTATGATTCATTAAAGGTGGGGCATGTAATTTTGGAGAAACCAGCTCGAGTGCGCTAGAATTTGAAAGTACACAACCGGAAAAAATCTGCCTCTTCCTTCAGACTTCCTTACAGAGCCCCTCCTCCAACACACACGAACGCGCACATGACCAATGAGGGCACGAGATAAGTTTGTGCACAGATGGAAGGCTGACAGGCAGGTAGGCCATCCAGTTATTTTAGCCGGGCCGGTTAAAATGATTGGTCGTGCTTTTTACAGTACTACGGCTTCCACAGATGAAATGTTTTAATGTATTTATTGTCAAAGCATTTAATATATTCATTGCTATCGGGATGTTAAGAGCATTCCATGGAATATAACAAAAAGTGTTTCTGAAATAAATGACATACCTCACCTTTAAGTGTTAATATTACAAAGATGGTAAGAGGCATTGATATCATTTTCTTTATTGTATGCTATAGGCCTACCTCTCTGTGAACATCTAATACAAATGTAGTGACATTTTGATCATTATTTCCAGATATACATGGGATAAGGCCAAAGGGCCCCCCTTCAAAACATGGTTGTGCTTTGTTCTACCTCGGGTAGGGGTATCTCGAAAACTAACGCCCTTTTTGGGGGTGCTCCTCAACTAAAAATGATTGCTAGAGATTGGGGAAAAACAGCTTCAGATTGAAACGGCTTTAAATGTTAAATATTTGAACAATACATGTTTAACTTCTAGAGATTTTTTTTTTTCCCCTTTTCCTTAATTTAATAATTAAAAATAAATATTTCAGTCTTGACTGTACACACTCCGGTACAGTAGGTGGCGGCAATCCCGTTTAGTCGCCGCCATAAAAACAAAAGAAGAAGAAGGGCGCTGTGAACTGGAAGTTCTTTCATTTTAGCTGAAGAACAAGTCTGCTTGTTTTTCCACTATATCGGTCTGAGGACCAAAAACAATCAACAAACTTTTATGTCCGGCCTAAAATAAGCCCCCACAAACAGACTGGACACATATATCGAGCATTTATCGTGTAGTTTATCAAAACGGTGAAACGGAACATTGTTCTGAAGCTCTGCTATGAACACTGGGATGCTAACTTCGCCTTCGCTACCTAACGAACTGTGAGATTGTCGGGCTCGTCAACAGTATCCACAAACCAGGAGGTAATGGACATTTGTCGTTGAATAATGTTTTTGTTTTCAGTTTTAACTTAACTTTACACACAGCTTTACACAAGTTAGTCTTGGCAGTGCTGCACGCTGGCGGCCAACGTGAACTAAGGCTAGCCATGAGCAGTCAAAACAAACCCAGAGCCACACTCAGGGGCTAAAGTCTTGAGTTATTTACCGTTAGTCGCAAAAGCATAACACGGACCAGCAGCAGTTCCCCGTGCGTTTTTTTTTAGCGACCACACGTAGTTGACGTCTTTCATTTGTTAACCATTAAAATAAATATATCGTTAGCTTGATTGCTAACTTCCGCTCTGCGCGCAGCTCGTTTCTAGGTTGTTATTTGTCCTGCTGAAGAGCTGATGCTCTGCAGTGAGTGTGTTGTTTGGTCTAACAATATCAATAATATTAGGAGTTTTTTCATTGGCAGAAGCGTTGAACACGACTAAGCGTTTAACTCGCTAAATTTGCTTTAGCTGAACATTTTAGTCAAAACAGCCATTATCATTCATTTTTACTTGTGTTTGTGTTAATTGTTCCTTCAGTGTCCCCTCAACCAAACGGTCATAAAGTCAAAAAGAGAAGTCGTGCAGTTTATATGACAGGGACGTGACAGCCCTTCTCCCTGAAGACGTTTTGACTATTATGAATAGTACATAAAAAATAAGTAAATATAATAATAATAATAATAATAATAATAATTAAATGATGGCTCTTTTGAGTTCTTGCCTTCAAAAAAAATATCACGGATAGAAACACTTTTAGGCTTAAAAGAGATGAATTAAACAATTAAAGGTCCCATGTCATGGCCATTTCTACTGATTATATTTCCATTGTTGAGGTCTACTAGAATATATTTAAATTGTGCAATTTTCCAAAATCACATTGGTTTCTCATACAGCATCTCTGTATAGTATGTGTATTCACTCTCTGTCCTAAACGGCTTGTTGGAGCTCCTGCCCCACCCCTTCCTGTGAGCCCAGTGTGCTCTGATTGGTCGGGACGTTGCGAGGCTCGCTGCTGCGAGGAGCGGACAGGTTTCCGGGTCGGCGATACAGAGAGACACAGCAAAACTCATCCTGAGCACACACAAACACTCACAGCCGAAGTAAAAACAATAAGTGTGGCTTGATATTGAGTAAGAAAAAGGTTTATAACGCTGTGAGAAGGGGTCTGCGGAGAGCATTTCTCCACGATCCCAACTCGTCTATTGCCAGCGTTCAGGGAGCTCTATGCAAGTCAATGGGGACTCCCTGTCATGCCCCTTTCACACCAACGCGTTTTCAGCGCCGGCTCGGAGCTAGAGCCTGAAAAGTACCGGTTTTTCCTCTTCACACCGCAGCGGCGCCGCCTCTGAGCTCCGGAATCTGGTTCGTTTCCAGCTCCAAAAAGTTGTCGGTTTAGAAGCAAGACTCCGGAGCTAAGAGGCGGCGTCGCTTACGTCGAGGCGTGCAGGAAACTAAACCCACCTCCCCTGAACATGGGTCGACTGAAGAGTCTCGTCATGCCTGCCTACAAGAAGTAGCGCTGAGCAAAGTGACTAGAAGGCAACCACACACTTATAAAAAAAAACACACTTTATAAAGTCAGGCAACACTAACCAGGCTTCGTGTGATTCTGTTTATTTGTACCTTACTTTGACCATCCGTTCGCTGTTCTTGATCATTGTGGAGAGCAGGCAGACGTTTTGTTTTTTATTATAGCAGCTATCGGATGGAATCAATACATGGGCTGCACAGGTTGTCATGTCCGACTATCACAAGTAGAATCATAATGAAAAATACGCCGGTAAAATGTGCCTGTAGAAAACGGCTTAGCAAGTAGTCAGTTTAGCTTCGGTTGCTATGCTAACATCACCCATGTTATACCAGAGAAACTTTCATAACAGCGTTGTGATGCCAAACAGCGTCAATTCAGACTGACACACATTCACTTAAGGGGAACTGGGGATATGTATCAGCTGCTTGTGTGACAGTCAGACAGTGAATACTTTAGAGCCGTGTGAGCTAACCCGGAGCTAACGGGAGAATAAACTCCCGTGGAAGAGCAGCCAGCACTGCAGCGGTCGGTAAATGCCGCTGAAACACATTAATAAACAATGAACCACGGCACTCTGGAGAAAAGTATAAGGTTGGAGAAGTCGTTATTTAATTTAATCTGGCTTCGTATGATTAAAAGCAACACGATCATCGACCCGACGCAGTCCCCCGTTGTTGTTGTGAGCGCCGTTAGGGAGCAAATCAGCGATGTAAACAGTGACGTCATGACGCAGCTGCGGCAGCACCAGTCGGGCTCTGGGCGGTGTGAACAAAGCGGGAGCAGAAAAGAGAAACCGGAGCTGAACCAGAAAAGCTCTAGCACGGAGCTAGAATGGGAAAAGCGCTGGTGTGAAAGCCGCATTAGTTAGCCAAGGGATCCTGGTGTGTGAGGTGCTCCGGATTGGTCCATTTGGGCCAATCCGGTCATTTGTTGTTGATTTGGGTGTTCACACGTCACAGAACCCAGGAAGAAAACAATGGAAAAAGAGAAATCTCCAACGAGGAGTTTTGGGACAGCATAGACAGGTCTTTTCTGTGTTAGAGTTTTACTCGCTACAGGGTGTACTTTGAGGGTTTTTGACTCTGCAGACCATTTATTTATACAGATTTATTTCGATTTTCCAGCCCAGTAAAGTGTCAGTCTGAAATTAAGTTTGCAAGGAAACCCTGCTGCACAATACCAGGACCCTGTTACCAATCCTGGACTTAACAATTGTGTCCTTCATGAACAAGTTGCCCATCTCTGCATTATGTTGAGATTGTGTTCCATTTATCTGAATCTTTATTTCATGAAAGAATAATCATAAATGCTGAATGCACCTAATAGAGCCTTGGGAAACCTGGTATGTTTTTGCAGCTGTATACTGTTATTGATAAATGATGACGTCCACCCATGGTAACAGTTCTCTGAAGTGTTTGTAAAATTCTATGCGACCCCCCCCCCCTCTCTGTACAGCTCGTCAACTGGAGCATTCAAAGACAGCAGGGGCTGTTGGGATTCCAACATCCCTTATCATCGTTGGGCCCTGAGATGACATCACAGCAGCAACAGGTTCCCAGTGCTGCCATTCCTCCCCAGCTTGCTCACAACTCCTCTGCTCAGCAGGCCCGGCATCACATTCAGGGCAATCCGCTGGACTCAAGTCAGAGCAGTGCCACTGCCAGGCCTCTGGATCACAGAGCCCTGTGCGGCAGGGCGGGCTGCTCTGGTGTTGCAGCAGCCAGCGGGGAGGGAGCCAGCAGAAACGTTTCGGCCTCCTGCACCAAGTCCAGCTTCTCCAGAAGAGATGGAAGCTTGGAGCCATGGCCTGAGGAAGCTGTGGACAACTCCCATGGGCTCTACTCACTCCACCGCATGTTTGACATAGTTGGAGCACAGCTTACCCATCGTGATGTCAGGGTACTGTCATTCCTTTTTGTTGACGTGATTGATGAGTATGAGCGAGGTGGCATCAGGAGTGGAAAGGATTTCCTGCTGGCCCTTGAGCGCCAGGGTCGCTGTGATGAAACCAACTTTCGACATGTTCTACAGCTTCTAAGGATCATCACACGCCATGACCTATTGCCGTACGTCACACTCCGGAAACGGCAGTCTGGTGAGTAATGCAATGTAAATACTATGATCATACAAGACTTCAAATACATATCAGTGGAAATGAAGGGTGTATTTTAAACTCCAAAATACAGGATTGGGAGAAACAATTGTACATTTCTCCTTTCCTTTTTAAAGTGTGCTCAAGTGTTTGTTGCTTGTATTTAGCCTTTGCCTAAGTTACCTTAGTGAACTGTATTCCGTGTTCATGTTTGTTGTCTGTAGGCCACATATTTTGTGAGGGTTTTTCATACTTGTCCACAGGGACATGCGAGGTCCTGCGATTCTGCTTTGCCAAGGCTTGCAATGTAGATGCTGGAAAGCAATCGGAAAAAAGTAGTAATTATAGTGGATATGGCACCTTATTGTTATTGGTTTCAAAAAGTTGAATAATCTTACTGTCTTGTGCATAACATTTGACTATAAATAACTTAATAAACATGTTGGTTTGTATTTGTCTGAAGTGACTACTTATGTCGTCATGGCACCGCCAAAATGTCTCTGCTTTCTGTGTGATGCAATTTCAAATCATCTGCTTTCATCAGTGTGCCCGGACCCTGTGGACAAGTACCTGGAAGAGACATCAGTGCGCTACATTTCACCCAGAGGAGTGGTGCAGGGCAAGGACACTGCGCCTCACAGAAGAACAGGTGTGTGTCTGTCTGTCTGTCTGTCTGTATGTATAGGCTTGTTTGAGACAAGCGAGACCTGCGCAGACCTGCGCAATTGCGATCAACGTCTTGCTAGTGCGTTGCATGATGGTTAGTCATTTTGTCCGACTTGCTCTGGAGGCTCGCCTACATGAGACGTTGAAATCTCGTGGGACAAAGACGCCCCAGACTTCAGAGCGAGGCGAGGCGCGGCGCGGCGAGGCGGCGCAGTTTCTCTCTACGGGCTGCGGAAGCGAAATGCTTGATGGGAAACGACTCGCTGGTATCTCGAGCTGAGCGCTCATTGGTGGTTTTTACCCCGTGCTGGAGATGAAACTCTCCATTGGCTCGGCAAAAGTGTGTTGTTGTTTTGTGTCAGTTTTACGTCGCCACTTCCATTCACATTTTTCATCATTGTTCCACAATGTTTATCATCATTACATTAATATCTATATATTTTATACTACACTTGCACTGCTTACCGTTGTCATACTTTATATATCTTAGCATATTCATACAACACACTGTTCATACTAGGCTAGGCTACTGTGTATAGTGTATTCATACCCCTCACTGTTTTTTCATCATTCAATTCATTCTATATTTTATTCTGTAGATTGTGTACATTACTTTTCACTTTACTGCTTTATGCACTCCTGGTTAGAAGCTAAACTGCTTTTCTCAGTACCTGTAATCTGTGCAATAACAATAAAGTTGAATCTAATCTTGAGCAGGAACAAATGTATTTACTTAGTACATATCTGACATTAACGATTAAACACATTTGTGCATTCTTTATAAATGCAAACCGAGTCAAGCCGACTCCGGAGGTGGCGGTATGCACCTTAAAGTTGTTTGCAATCCGCCAAAAAACCGAGAGAAGAAGAAGAAGAGGAAGAAGCCGACTCCGAGCTGTCCGACTTCAGGCGAGCCTTTTGAGACCTCCCCCGGCTGCGATCGGCTATTCTCGTCTACTTTCGAGGCGAGCCGCAGCTCGTCTCAAACAAGCCTATTGTCTGTATGTCTGTCTGTCTGTCTGTCTGTCTGTCTGTCCAAGTAACTGAGATATCGTTTTCTAGGTCCACAACCAGTCATTTGCTGTTCCCCGTCAGGACCCCACGTTGGCCCCCCCCCAAACAAAGCCAGCTCCTCCTGCACCAAACCGCAAACGGAAGAGAAGTCATTCTTCAGCTGACTGCAGAGAGAAGCAAACATGTGGTAAAGGGAAACACAACACAGAGAAGGCCTCATGAATATGTTGACAAATACATCAAAATAAGACCTGTCTAGTGACATTGCTTACTTTAAAGCAACAGTTACCAACCCTTTTACATGCCTTAAATAAGTAGGTAACAATTGTTATTTTTCAGTATACTATATATTATATATATATGTTTTCTTTTTAAAAGAGAACCGGGTTACAGGAGTCATGGTTAGGGATTAGAGACATTTGATATTTCCTGGAGGGATTTTAATGCAGCGATGCATCCTTGTAATTTATAATAATTACAACCAGTCCGAGTGTAACTTAGAATTACACGAAGTAGACCATGTTACTACAGTGCATGTAAACGCATTATATGTTTAACAGTGTGACCTGGCTACTCTGAGTAACCTGTGTGTGTATATTAAAGTTAGGGCTGCCCCCAATTAGTCGACTGAACGTTAGTCGGCGAAATAAATGTTCGTCGACTAATTTTTCATCAGTCTATTAGTCGAAGAAAGAAAAGAAACGTCAGCCGGAAAACCCCTCAGACTTCATACAGAGCTGTGCCTGGTCATTAAGGTAATCTTGTCGGGCAGGAAATCCAAAGTGTGGGATCTTACTGAGCATTTAAAGGACGAGCCCCACAACGTAACATGCAAACTCTGCAGGCAAAAAGTGGCCTTCATATCGACGCCATGCCGGCATCATTGCAAAACCTGGAGTGTAACTATCCCGACAACGTGTGTTCCTTTTTTCATAATCGGAGGAAAACAGCAGCAGTGAGTCAGGCAGTAGCCTAGCCTTGTATCTACACACAAGACCTCAAATATACAATGCCCGTCCAACAAAAAGATGCACACTCTAATATTTTGTGGGAACGCTTTTAGCTTTAAAGGGCCCATGTCATGCTTTTCCGGTTATTACCCGTCCCCTTGTGTGTTATGAAGGTTTTTATGCATGTAAACGGTGTGCAGAGTCACAAACCCTCAAAGTACACCCTGTAGGGAGTAAAACTCTAACACAAAACGCCTCGTTGGAGATACATCATTGTCCATTTGATTCTTCCATTTCGTTCCGGATACGGCATGATGTCAAGCCGTACCCGGAACGAAATGGACCAATCCGTGGAGCCGTTACGTTAAGCCCCCGGTGATTGGTCCAAATTGACCAATCCACGGACTTCCTCACACACACATCTGTGTGCAGGGAGCAGGCAGCTCAGCTGATTTCTCCTCCCTGGCTGCAGGCTGATAACAGACAGTTGGGATCGCGGCGAAATTCTCTCTGCAGACCCATTCTCACAGCATTTATCAACCTTTTTCTTACTCAATATCAAGCCACACTTATTGTTTTTACTTCGGCTGTGACTTTGTGTGTGCTCAGGATGAGTTTGGCTGTGTTTCGCTATGTATCCTAAACAAGGAAACAACACCTCCACGGAGCTCAGCGCGATTCACAACGTCCCGACCAATCAGAGCACACTGCAGGGCTCTCGGCTAACTTCTTTCACCATCCTCCCGGAACCGTCCCGAAATACAATCTAAGCCGTCCCGAAATTAATGTGGACCGTCCCGAATTTAAAATATTAGTTTTTCTACATTATCATTAGTTAAAATCATTCAAAGTGACCTTTAACATAAATAAAACATCATACAAATCATTAGATGATAATTCATCAACCTTTTTAATTGAGTAAATCAGTCAAACACATAAACAAAGGCCAAATATATTTAAAAAAAACACACAAGCGAGAAAGTTACTCTAATATTGAATCCAATCAAGTTCTATCCAATTATCAAAAACATCCAACACTCTGTCCTGAAGACAGAAGACAGAACCCAGAGTAACCACTAACCAGGATGACAGTCTGTAACACAGTCAGGAGACCTTAACAAACTGCCCCGCCCCCTCGCACACAGACGGGGGAGAGAGCTCTCTCGTCTGGATTGGAAAGATCGAAAATAAGATCGAAAATACATCATAGACGCATTTTGTAGACTTATTGCATATTAGAAACGGAGTTGGCGAAACTAAAACTGCGATATAATGTTCATGTAGCAATAATACATGACATATATGTTTTAAATGTCTCCACTACCGATAAAAAGTCAGATAACGTCGGAGCTTAACGCTACCACTGTCTTTAATAATTCCGGCCCGGGGCCCGTTTAATACCGGGGCTCGGTACCCATCCCTACATGGGGAGAGACGCAGCATATTGCTAAGGACTAAATACGATGGAGAGTTCTCATCTCAGCCTTATTACCCATAGGGGATGAAGAGGAGTTAGTAAATAAAGAGGCCGGCGCTCCAGGGTTAGGTTCTGCTGTGCGTTTTCGTGATGTAACGTAAACAATTGCAGAATTCCTCCACGGGATGCCATTGTCATTGTACATCACTCAACGCGAAATACACACACTCAGTACATAGCTAGACCCAATAATTTGCGGGCCAGGAGTTTGCGGGCACAGCTGTGTGTGTGTGTGTGTGTGTGTGTGTGTGTGTGTGTTGTGTGTGTGTGTGTGTGTGTGTGTGTGTGTGTGTGTGTGTGTGTGTGTGTGTGTGTGTGTGTTGTGTGTGTGTGTGTGTGTGTGTGTGTGTGTGTGTGTGTGTGTGTGTGTGTGTGTGTGTGTGTGTGTGTGTGTGTGTGTGTGTGTGTGTGTGGTGTGTGTGTGTGTGTGTGTGTGTGTGTGTGTGGTGTGTGTGTGTGTGGTGTGTGTGGTGTGTGTGTGTGTGTGTGTGGTGTGTGTGTGTGTGTGTGTGGGTGTGTGTGTGTGTGTGTGTGTGTGTGTGTGGTGTGTGTGTGTGTGTGTGTGTGTGTGTGTGTGTGTGTGTGTGTGTGTGTGTGTGTGTGTGTTTCGCGGTTTGCTAAATGTTTTGTGCGTGTGTGTTTATGTTGACAAGGAGGTTTAATAACTGTGTGCTACACAAAACGTGCAGTCAGTTTCATTTTCATCGCCGTTCGTACTGTAGTAGAGTTATCAGGGTATTTTTATTTTAACTCTCGTCCCAAATTCGTCCCAAGATTATTTTTTATCCTCCCCGACCCTATTTTTTTCGGCCCCGGGACGACGGGACGTCTTTAAACTCGAGCCCTGGCACACTGTGCTCACAGGGAGGGTGGGGGCTGGAGCTATTGGAGCTACAACGAGCCGTTAAAGGCAGAGAGTGAAATTCAGTGAATACACGTAGTTTACAGAGATGCTGTATGAGAAACCAATGTGAGTTTGGAAAAATGCACAATATAAATCTATTCTAGTAGACCTCAACAATGGAATTATGATCAGTGGAAATGGCCATGACATGGGCCCTTTAAGTGCGGCACACAGTCGCCGTGGCATCATTTCGATAAGCTTCTGCAATGTCAAAAAAAGTATTTCTGTCCAGAGTTGCATTAATTTCCCACCAATATCTTATATTGATGATGGGATAGTTGCACCGCTGCACAAAGTCTCCTAAGAATCCTTAACGGAGCTTCTGCTCTTTTTGCAGCTGATGGACAGCCTGCTTCAACCGCTGTGCGCTGTGACCAGTGCAATTTTTATGTGCAACATTTTTTAAATGTATCTTTCAAAGGTTCATTATTATAGTTTTATTTTATGTGAAGTTCAGAAGTATCTAAACGGCTGTTGAGACCCAGAGTACTAGAGTGTATTTTGCTTTTATATTAGAGTTAATGTAACTAACACTGCAAAAGATACATCTGTTTAACTTTTAATTATTATTTAAAAGAACATTCTGTGTTCTGTCACTTATTCACCACACTTAACTGGACAAACTTAAATTGCTTCTTTCAGTCAGATAAATAGCAGCTGTTTGGAGAAAGTGCTTGATGATGATCTTTTATTTGCTTAATAAATACCACTAAGATTTCCATATGAATATTGGTGTTAACTGGACAACTACATTTACTACTCGGAAATAGTGTAGATATCAATAGCATGTCATTAGATCTTAGGTGTACTGTGACAAACATAAATGTTGACATGAAGTCAAAGGCTAACATGGCAATGTCACACCACACCTTTTTTCCTAATAGTGAAGGACAAAACTGTTGGTACAAGCGTTCTTTGGTCAAGCTCCACGACTTGTAGCTTGTCCCCCGAATTGTAACACCTGACGATTGGAACTGCTCTGATGGGAAAGTGAGATGCTACAGTCGTAACAACTCTGTCAATTGAGATGTACCCCCTGACAATTGGTCCAAACAGCATAAAAAGTTCAACGTTTGTGCCGGTGTTGGTTCACTTTTAAGGTGTGTTCTCGGACCTCTGGTTATTTCTGCTGTAAACACCATTCAAATCAATCACTGGAAGTTGGAGTTGGTGATCAGCTAGTAGCCCGCCTGGGTGTTTGCTACTATTGAATTTGAGGAAGTGATGGTTTATCTGACAAATAAGTAGACAATATTAATCCAGCAGACGCACCCTGTAGTCGCTTCACCTCCATCCATGTTGCCAGGTCACTAGTTTACCTGTGAGGAGAGCGATCAACAGAAAGCTCTGTTTCCCAGTGACAGAGAGGGAAATGGGGGACCATGGTTTAAACCGGTGTGGTGTAAAAATCTGAACCGAGTCTAAAAGACATCTACCACCACAACTCCCCCAATATGGTACTTTTACTCCACTACATGTACGTAATATCTTCAATTACTTTACAGATCTGGATGAATGATGTGAAATATAATCAAGTGTTAAATCAGACTTTAGTTCCACCTGGAGTAAATTCACAAGCTACCCTGCAGTATACAAAGTCATTCAAACTAGCTGCACCTTTACCAGCTTTGAGAACACTTTCATGATCAATAATTATAAAACATATCATATATATTATTCTGAAATGGACCAATCTGCACAATGACTACTTTTACTTTCAAAAAGTAAAAGTAGTCATAGTAGAACCACACTCTGGTACTTCTACTTTTACTCAAGTACAAGATCTGAGTACTTCTCCCACTTTACACGTAATTGGGGCGACAGAGCTACAAGTAAAGGTAAACAAAAACTGTGCATTTCTCCGTCTAAATATGAGGCCTTTTGGCCAGATGTTTGGAGAGATTGCTCATGTTTCTGTGCTTACGCAAAAATACTAAATGAGCATTGTCCACATAGAGCCTTGTAGAGTATCACTAGCAGATTTGTTTGATGATCTTATTGACTTTACGTTGTGCTCTCCTCCTTCAGATATCCGCCTCCGGGTTCGTGCTGAATATTGCCAGCATGAGTCTGCACTTCAGGGCAACGTCTTCTCCAACAAGCAAGAGGCAGTGGAGCGCCAATTTGAGCGTTTCAACCAGGCAAACACTATCCTCAAATCCCGAGACTTGGGTTCCATCATCTGTGACATCAAGTTCTCTGAGCTCACCTATTTGGATGCCTTCTGGAGGGACTACATCAACGGCTCATTGCTTGAGGCCCTTAAAGGGGTCTTCATCACAGATTCCTTAAAACAGGCTGTTGGCCACGAAGCTATAAAACTATTGGTCAATGTTGATGAAGAAGACTACCAGGCTGGTCGGCGCAAACTACTTCGTAATTTGGTGACAAGTGGAGTTAGCCCAGGTGGAGCTAGCAAAGATTCTGTACCTTAGGCACACTCTCTATTGGTGGAATTGTGCAGCAGAACGCTGCTGTGGACCCCCCACAGGGAACTGCGTGAGATGTGTTTGTGTCGTTTGAGGTGCCTGAAAATAAACTAAAGGACTTCTTGCTTCCCATTCAATTCCTTGAGAGCTTAGGTCATAGGATATCAACTTGGCCCTCCTGAGCGTAGCATGCGAGGTGATTTAGAACTTTGTTAGCAGAAGTAGGTGCATACAGGTGGATATTATTTTGAATGTTAAGCTTTTCATTTTATTTGAGGAGAATACTCATACATGTGTGCATTGAATTTAACTAATTTTGTTTCTTGAACCTTAGCTCATTGAAGTGCATTTGTTACCTGATTACACTCTTGACAACCTGTTTAAAAATCTCGTGTTTATGATGTAAATTACTCTCAGTGGGAGTTGTACCTTAGGGTCAAACTGGTCGATCTGCTGTCCAGCCATTTCCGGTACATAACAGATTGGTTGGATTAACCCCAAGGGAAGAGTGTTCTGTTTGTTATAGAAAGGCACAGACGTATGACTTACATTTAGTCAGGCACAGACATATGACTTACATTTAGATTTTCATTTACTTTCCTTAAGACTTAACACAGTTCCCTTGTGTGAAAAGATAAACCCTTAAGAGCCTTGGCTCCCAGTTGGTCTCACTGTCTACATCCTTGTGTCTTTCAGATTATTTCATTAACAACGTGACTTGTTACCAGCGGCTGTGATTCTGACCTAATGTGACATTTTAATTGTTTAGTCAACACCGATATTTAAACTTTGTAGAACATTTAAATGTTCTGAATCATATTCAATGAAAAATGTAGTCATTCACTGTGTTTGACATCTTTTGGGATTTGCAAGTTTCATTGTCAGCCCAAACCACACCTACCTGCCGTCTCCACATGTTTACTCATATAACAGTGAACTTTAAAATATTTAAACCAACTGTCAATCACATGCTGAAAAAGCAGTACAAGCAGGTGCTTTTACTTCCTCGCCCAATTGCTGGGCTTGATGGAGGAAGAAGATGTTTCTGCGTATCCTCCTCCATCCACAATGCTTCCCGAAGCAAACTGGATACTTAAGGCTTTGAAACGGGAATAGAGCGTACGCTTCTACAATTTTGAGTGCAGGTGCTGATCATGCGCTTGCAGTGGAACAAAACTACTTTAACATAATTTTCTGAAATGCAGCAAGGCAAGCAACGTTTGAATATTATTGAATTTCATTTTGGTATCCATGGTTTAAGACATCAGGTATAATGGGTGCCTGTGACAGACAACTAAAATATTATAGAGTGGTAAAATACACTGAGTGGCCACTTTATTGGAGAACACCCTTTAGGTCCGCTGACAAATTCATCCTATACATTGAGATACTGGTGAGTCACTAGCTTTATCAGCATTGCTGAGTCAGCAAGCTGTGGAAGTTGAGCCCAGCTTTAAAGCTTCCTGTCATAGTTCCAGCCCAGAGTGCTGCTGTGGGCCTTAACATCATCCACACATCTAGTAGAGTCCTGTTTTATCAACAGTTTGTTCACTGTTTATTTGGCCTCACAGTGGTATGAAAATGTTAGGTTCATCTTTCTGTTATACTTTGTGGATTACAAAAAGATTGGTATTCTAGGCTTTTTGTTTCATTGCAGGTGCACAGCCTCCCTTATTGCAGCAGTAGGTTGAAGTTCCTGTTCTTTGTTGAAGTTCAACTTTCCAGTGTCCAAAAACATAATCGCCAGAGTGTCAGTGAACTAATAACAATGTCTATGACTCTGATGGGATGGATTTACCATTCTCCTGCATCATAGTCAGACACATAGCTGCCTGTGCATCAGCCGACCTCCACACTGACTGGAGGAGCAGCATAGAGGACACAGTGATGTACAGTATGTCAATCTTGAGTCATGCAATTTAAGATTCTCCAAATTGGAAATGTAATGTCATTGCTGTCGAACCAGGACAGGTTATTACTTAATGCAAAAAGTAACTTGTTTGGACGTGATTAATATTAATCATAAGATATATAAGACTGCGCATAATGTTGATTTGGGAATAGATAATTTAGAATTTATAACAGAATTTGATTACAGGCTTAAATGTCATTTAAGTCACAATTGTCAATTGCAAGGCCAGTCTCAAATGCTTATATTTGACATTTTCTATTCATCCTTCTTTTACTCAGTGCACATAGCCAAATAGTCGTCGTCATGCCAAATATATTCTTCCTGCTAAACATGCTCTTTCTTATCTCTGCTATCATACAATCCGTGGGTTCATATTAAAACACAAGTCATGTTTGACTGCCCTCTATTACATAGTCGGTCTACATTTATTTATTTTTTATGTCGAGGTTGCAAGTTAGTATCTATTATATAGGTTGGTGTGTGTTCTGTTGAATAAATGTTATGTTAGTTAAATACAGCTGTCTCCTTCGCAAAATTGCATATAACCTGTTATGTCAAAATGTCGTAGAAACTTGCAGTGCTAATATTTTGTAATTAACTTTATTGGGTTTCCAGTTTTCTTACATCAATTTTGCATTTCTTCAGAAAACAGACAAATAGTTCTGTTAATAAATTAAATGGATGGGTTTTGCTGAAATCCAAGGCATTATTATTTTTTCATGTCACATGACACATACAACCAAAATCTTTAGGTGGAAAACTGTACATTTTGCAATTTATAATGTACAGGATTATAAGTAGAGGAACAAACCCCCCAAAATGGCTTTAGTTTTCGAGATACCCCTACCCGAGGTAGAACAAAGCACAACCATGTTTTGAAGGGGGGCCTGTTGGCCTTATCCCATGTATTGGAAATAATGACCAGAATGTCACCAAATTTGACTTGGATGTTCACAGAGAGGTATAGCATACAATAAAGCAAAGCAAATTATATCAATACCTCTTACCATCCTTGTAATATTAACAGTTAAAGGTGGGGTAGGTAATTTTGGAGAAACCCGCTTGAGTGCTCTAGAATTTGAAAATACACAGCCGGAAAAAATCTGCCACTTCCTTACAGAGCCCCTCCTCCTACACACACGAACATGACCAATGAGGGCACGAGATAAGTTTGTGCACAGATGGAAGGCTGACAGGCAGGTAGGCCATCCAGTTATTTTAGCCATGCTTTTTACAGTACTACGGCTTCCACAGATGACATTTTTGTATGGATTTTTTGTCAAAGCACTTAAGATATTCATTGCTATCGGGATGTTAAGAGCATTCCATGGAATATAACAAAAAGTGTATCTCGAGCCGGTTTCTCAAACTTACCTACCCCACCTTTAATGAACCAAAGGCAGAAATAGAAAAGGACATTTAAAATGCAAAAGGTATATTTATACTTTTCTGTCATTTTTAAACCCAATCACCCAAAAATGTAATTTATATTTACCAGAGACTGCTATGTTCTCATAAAAATAGTTATCTTTGACTATTCACTTCAGCCTCTGCTGTCACCAGCCTCTAACAGCTAACCTGCAGCCAAAATGGCCGTCAGAATGGGGCCCTATGGGTGTACCTGTGTGAAGGGAAGGACACAAAGCATAGATTAAGAGATCCAGAAATATTATATAACTATTATTTTCATTTTTATAATTATGTCAAACTTTTTCATTCTTAACACATTGTTTGTATTTTACATAATCTTTTAATAACACAGTAGATACTTTGATGCCATTAGCTAACAGGTTTCTATGCAACATTTTAACATGATTTAAATTAAAATGTTCAATTATTAGATGGATAAATCAAAGATGAATCATAAATGAATGATCAATTATATACAGTATTTATATATACACTTGGGTGCCTAGTATTTGTATGTGTGTTATAAAGCCTTTGGTTGTTGTTGTTCATTCAAATCAGATATGAAGATGACATCCAGCCTTCTATTTATTATTCCAATGTTCTTTAAATATAACTAGTTTTTCTATAGGATGCAAAAAAAGTGATATTCTTCAAACTATCCTATGTCTCTAATAATGACACATCAGTAATCAAACAGCCCCCCCGCCCCCCACTCTGCTCCCCTGGCCTGATTTGGCCTTACTGCTGGTCTGATTCACTCATTGGTCGATGATACATTTCAGGGAGACATCAGGAATAAAACAGCCTTTGATCAGTTCACCCAGCTTCAGCTTTTGTTTCTATTCATTTTGAGCTTTACCCCCCAGGCGTTAACACTTTCCTGCACAGCTCTAAGGGGCCGTCTCCACGGCAGCGTTAAAAAAATCTTGGAGGTGGGCGTATCTGAGGCTTGGGGATTTTTTTGCGATCAACCAATCACATGAATCTCCCGCCCGCGACATATGAAGCCAAAAAGCCCGAAGTAAACTGGATATAAACTCCCCAAAACAGGCGAAAACATACCACTGTCTCTGCCACCTCCCTCCATGCCTGGCTCCTCCGGTTTATATCCCGGTAGGTCTGGTCATAAAGCACCGGGTGATTGATTCGCTACCGCTAATTTCTCCTCCATGTTTTGGAATATGAGGAAATGACCTGCGGTCTGTCTCTCCCAGCATACACGCCGTTTGATTGGCTAGAGCTTGAACTGTCAGATTTGCGTACACGGGATTTGATTGGCTGACGCTTCCTCCTCAGCTTCAAAAGTTGAACATTGTTCAACTTTGGATCTTGAAAATCCTGAGAATCTCCGCTCGCCTGCCCACAATGCATTTCGGCGAAAGCGAAAAAAAGTGACGTCACCCCATTCAAAGTGAATGGGCAGAAGCGTTTCAAGATTTTTTAACGCTGCCGTGGAGACGGCCCGTAACCAACATGTAGCATGGCCTGATGCTGAAGAGAGCTGACTCATCATATGTGATGTGTGACGACTAGGCACATAGGTCTAAGTTATGTGCAAAGCATAGAGACATGGTTCACATTGTTGTTCCTGTCCACGCCAAGACGAAAGAAACAATGCCTCATTTCCATCTGTAGACTAGTGGGGAACAACATGGAGCCTGCAGCAGATCAGTCTGATATACTGAAGGAGGACTCGGGTCTCGAGGGGACTGAGCATGCAGGGCCTCACGATTTTTTAAAGATTGGTCAAGTTCTTGTTGTCAGGCTCCCTCAAACAATGCTATTACTAAATGTATGGAATACAAATCATGTATTGTATACTGTTTGTATGTGTCATGATGACATGGGATAGTATGAAGGATATCACTCTATTCATTGTATTCTCTGGAGAACTGTTAGGAAAATATCACTCGTCACCGGCTTGGTCTTCATTATCAGGATACATGTATTTATTACATGTATTAGAATGGAAGTAGTCATCACATACAGAGCTGCATGGGACAAATAGTTATCAGATCAGTGTCCTTCACATGCCTTATATACAAGAGAGTGTTACAGTCACAAGATGCAGAATACCGGTTCAAAGCAGTATTCAATGTTTAGTTCAGATTAGCTAAGGCCCACGTAAGCATGTAGATGTCTTCACAGCTGGACTGTTAGCACACGTGAAGTTTGAGCACTTTTTGACAATTTTCATAGGAGTTATAGCAATATCGTGTTTTACGGCGAGGGATACGCATCCCTCGCCGTAAAACACGATATTGCTATAACTCCATGGCAACAGCTTTTGAGGAAAACTCACTAATGGCACATAGATATGTTGAGGGCTGGACCATTAACTGTCATCTGAAGTCTGGTGGTGTTTTGACCATTTTCATATGAGTTACGACAACATCGTGTTTTATGGCGAGGGATGCGTTTCCATGGAAATAGCCTATGGTGAGATCTCAGATTTGGCGTAGAGCTGTTGAGGGCCGGACCATTAACCATGATCTGAAGTCTGGTGCTGTTTTGACCATTTGCATAGGTATCTCGACAACATCTTGTTTTTTGGCGAGGGATGCGTTTCCATGGAAACGAATAGGGTGAGATATCAGATTTAACGTAGAGCTATTGAGGCATGGAGAGGTGATATACAGGTGAAGATTGGGGGACAATCGGACCGTGTCCATTGGAGTTACAGCGACATCGTGTTTTATGGCGAGGGATGCGTTGCCATAGTAACACCACATTACGTAACATCAGATTTGATGTAGAGCTGTTCAGGGCCACATTGTTAACCATCATGTGATGTTTGGTGGCGTTCTGAGCATGTCAGTTGGAGTTATGACATCATCATGTCATATCTCCAACACACAGGTGTTTATGTTTGAGCTAACGACGTTATGAAACACCTGTGCTTGAGCCCAGAGATCAAAGGTTTCCATAGTGATGTGCAGTAATCAGTGAGAGGAGAGCCTTTCCATTGTTCTGAATTAGAGATAAACCTCATACATGTGAACGTTTTGTTGAAGAACCGTAACAGATATCGATGAAATTTCAACGCGTGAAGCATGTCAAGGACCCTGAGCGTCTGAAGTGTGCTTTTGTGTACTTGTCCTGATCGTGCTGAACGTTTTGATGTTTGAATGAAGTTTCTGCGATGTGGAATGTGGGAGCAGAAGAGCGTCAAAATAACCCAGCGGATTAAGAATAAAGAATTTGTCCGTAGAAGAACAAGTAGTTGGAATGCTGTATCAGCATTCCCACTAAATAATAATAAAGAATGATGATGCACGTAGTGCAAAAGGGAGTGCAAAATTGTCCATAGCAGCGTAAAAGTGACTGTGACTGGTGCTGGATTTTTTGTGTCTGTGTGTGTAGGGGTGGTCCAGTGGGGCCAGGGTGGAGAGGTGAGATAGAGGGGAGAGAGAGTTCAGCCTCCTGACAGCCTGGTGGACGAAGCTGTTTTTCAGTCGGGTTGTGCTCGACCTCAGGCTGCGGAACCTTCTCCCTGATGGCAGGAGGGTGAAGAGGCAGTTGGAGGGATGGAAGGGGTCACCCACAATGCTGAGTGCTCTGCGGGTGAGGCGGGTGTTATAAATGTCCAGGAGTGATGGGAGTGAGGCACCGATGATCCTCTCAGCAGTGTTCACGATGCGCTGCAGTGTCTTGCGGTTCGATGCTGTGCAGCTTCCGAACCACAAGGTGATGCAGCTGCTGAGGGTGCTCTCGATGGCGCCTCGGTAGAAGGTGTGCATGATGGGTGTGGGAGCTCCTGATTTCTTCAGTTTGCAGACGAAGTAGAGGCGCTGCTGGGCTTTCTTGGCGAGTGACGTGGTGTTGTTGCTCCAGGAAAGGTCCTCGGTGATGTGCACCCCCAGGAATTTGGTGCTGCTCACCTGCTCCACTGCGGCACCATTGATTGTCAGGGGGTGGGGGTGTTGGGTTGAGGTTCTCCTGAAGTCGACAACTATCTCCTTTGTTTTCTCCACATTAAGGAATAGATTTTTGTCTATGCACCACGTGGCCAGCTGGTTCACCTCCTTCCTGTAGTGGGTCTCGTCGTTGTTGCTGATGAGACCCACCACGGTTGTGTCATCCGCAAACTTGATGAAGTGGTTGGAG